ATATGTCGACATTAGAATGTGTCATATATGAATTTGTCGCATTGTATCTTTTGACTATTCATTCACCATCTTGTTTTGTAGACACTGCTACATATAGATACCTTGATTGAACATATGAAACTTTTGTATTTTCATGAGTCTTTTTTTAAAATTATTTCTCTAATAGTTATTATTCAAGAACATGCTGATCTCGATCGATGATCGAGAGAGGAGTGTCTTGAGACGGTGTGGATGTGGGTGTAGGATGTAAGTGTGGATATAAGTGTGGGTATGGGTATGAGTGGATCTGGGGAACGGAAGAGCTGCACCCACACCCGCTCACACCCTTGTTAATAGTCTCAAATTTTAATATTTAATTGTAGGTTTTTAAGACTCAATTATTCTATAATTGATGTAAGATGATTTGTTGTTTTTTGTTTTCTTTTCAATCATTATATTTTCGAATATTACATGAAAATGAAATTAGCAAATTTTTATTAATACATTTTAAGATCATGTTTAATTCGTATTCATCAACATCAAAAAGAGTTAATGAACGAAATCGAATCAATCATCAAAGATTAACAAATGAAATACAGAAATCGATTTAACCTAATCTTTATTCATTGTTACCAAATGTTAGTCATATTAGAGTTTTAAGATTAATTAATTGACAAACTATATGAAACTTTGATTTTCACATTGATTTAAAATCGAAAATAAATCGATCATTAGTCTTAACAACTGACAGAAAAGAATAATTTTGACACAGATCGAACTGAAAATAAAATAGTTTCAATGTCAAGATCATCAAATATACGATGAAATCGTTCAACTGGTAATCTTTCAATTGATGACATTATATTATTTGATCAAAAGAAAATTACATTTATTATTCGAGATTTCGAATATATATGTATATATATCACAAGAATGAAAATAGTTGTGCAATTATATATGAAAAAAAGAATTTTTATCTTTGACAAACTAAGAAGTGAATGTGGAAAAATAAACTGTTATCTTTTTGTTTGAAATATAAGAACAAAAAAAAACAGTTGTGAATAATTGCTTGATGCAAAAGGAGATATTGTAGTTTGAAGATTAAGTCAACTATCTTGATGTTCTTTATTTACCATATTTATTTGTAATGTCATTTCATCTAGCATAAAAATAGAATGTATATCATCTTATAATATGATCTATTTAGATTAAAAGAAAAGTTAAGTTAAAAGAATTAAATGTTTTACTTCTGTACTAACAGATTTTAAAAATCACTCATGACAACTGTATAATCAGTCGTAGCTCTTTTCTAAATTCATGGAAATCGCTTGTTAAATTTTGTTAAAGATATTCTTACCTCATCGTCTTGTATGAAATTTTAATACGATATTTTGATTTCAAATCTTTTAAAACTATTTTAAGTTTAATTAAGTTTTAGTTTCATATGTACTTCGAAATTCTTAACATATCTGTTGAAGATAAGTAGGTTCTCTAAATAAGTAATAGTCATTTATTATAATGATAGTTAATATGGAAAAGAATGAATGCTGATCCGAGTGTTTGATAGAAGAATAGGACAACCTTATTATTTGGAACAACTCGAAACTGATTGAAATATGATAACGAAATAATTTCTTCTAAAAAATAAAGCTGATTTATCCTCAACATACTGAATTTCTTTGTTAAATATCAATTTGAGTAAGCTGAACAAGTAATCTCAATATAGACGAAAAACATCAAGATTTAATATCACACGCTACTAAATCTAAATATTGAAACATTTTTTCAATAATATCTCGATCGAATATTTGTTTAATATATATTCAAAATATTTCCATCCATTGTCATCCATCAACAAATTTAATTTCATTTTAACATATCAATAAATTGAACAATTACTTCTATATCTTGAATAAATAAGTCATTCTACTTATTGTATAGTGTTAATTGTAATAGTATATTGTATATCTCTGTTTGAGTGTTATATTTTATTTGTTTTCAAAGCAATTCGATATTGTAGTAAACTTTATGTTCGAACGGTGAACGATAATTAAACAAAAAGCAACTCTAATAGAGAGAAGTTCTGATGATGATGATGTTTTACAAGGAGTATTAAGCACATTCTGTATCTCGTCTGAAACGTTTCGATTTCTTTAAAATTCTTCTCATCTAAGTATACAATTATCATAAGCCAGTAAACAAACAACTAGAATATCATTGGAATATGTATTTCAAGAACAAATAATTTTTTCCAAATGAATAATTGTATCATTTTGTATAAGAACATAATCTTCTTGTGTAAGATAATCAATAAATATCGAATTGAGTGCATTGAAAATAGCTTTCTGAATTCAAGGAAATCATTGATTATGAAGAAATATAAAAATCCTTTCGTGGAATTAACTCGAGAATTTTGTTGAATAAAATAAAGCAATTGACATCTCGATTATCCATTTGACAATGATAGTAAGATGTTCCTCTTTAATATTATGCTGCGAATTATTTTTGCTACATCAATAAATTCAAACAACTATTGTTTAAGATAAAGTTCTAAATCTTCTGAGCAACTGCTAACCATTAATAAATAAGATTCAGTGATGTTCTTAGATGTATGATGGATATTTTATGTTATTCGTTCGAATGCTACTGTTAGAATTAAATCTAATATTTCTTTGCGGTCAATAGAAACAGAAAATTGTACAGAATAAAGAATATTTTGATATAGAGTAACGAAGATTTGATGAACGATCGTTGGATTTGTAGGTCGTAATATAAACAGGTGCTGAATGACAATTTTAAAACAAAACTTACTGTCGTTAATAAACATTTTCGTCGATGATTTCGATTGAATCTAGCTTTCAGTAACTAGCATCAATGCGGTATAATATGCAAACAACCTCAAATCTTCATCCTTTCGATAATTGAATTATTTTGCAATTATTGGAAGAGTTCTTCTTTCGACTTTCATACATCCATATACATCTGTAATAATTTGATGGAATTCTTTTTTGTTTGACATTTGTAAACAGTTTGTAACCAAGTTTATAACTTTCAAAGTTATTATCTCTGAATATTTCGATAAGTCTTCTCACAGTTATCTCAACTTTTTTAGAGGAGAAATTTTAATCTTTTGATCACTATTTATATGCATTTCTAGAATCTGAGCATTATTCAAAGAATATAGTGGAATTGAAGTGAAGAAGATCAGACAAGTTATCGATTCGTTATGTGAACCTTGCTAGATAATATCTACAAGATCTGAATTATTGAGTCGTCGTAATGCAATAGACACTGTCTCTTGTTCTTCAATTTGTTTGTTAATAAAAGTCTTATTCAATTTTTCATCGGGTACATGAATTATGTTTTGAAAATGCACTGGAGAAGCTTGATAAATCATATGACATTGAATGAAAACAAAAGAGTTGACATTAATAATGAGAGATGTGGTAATAAAAATTCTAACAAAGTAACGATTTTCAATCCCAATTGATCTCTTTGTTCTTCATTAAAAATCAACGGATCCTTCTTGTCTAAAATAATGTTCAAAGAGGTAATTCATAAATTTGGATCGAATGTATTTTATTATTACAAAGTGTATTTTTTCACTCTCGATAGGAGAGAGATTAATATTTCTTGTTTCATAATTAGTGCGAGAATGATACTGTTTTTGAAACAGTCGAGCAAGGAAAATTGACGCAACGAAAAAGTATAAATATTTCTCATGATTTTGCATTGCGTTTTTTAGCTTCGCTTATACGTTGACACTCCATGCTGATCAATATTTGCCAATATTTCATTGCTTTGAACAATTCGATGTGATCTTT